ATCATTATACCTAGGTCTCACAACCACCGACAAGAACATTACTTTCTCAATTGCATTCTTGTTTTGGACAATCCTATACAGCTCCTCCTCAAGAGGATGTAGGTAGTAAGTCTTGTCCTTTTTGGTGGCGTTGAACCATTTTTCATCTATGGGTGTGTTTAGTTCTTTGGGTGTAAAATTTTTGAAGTATATGGATGCACATTTGAAGTATTAAACGTAGAGTAATAACAAAACAAATTACAGATTCTACCTGTAAACTGCGAGACGAATTTATTAAGCCTAATTAATCCATCATTAGCAAATGTTGACTGTAGCATCACATTGTCAAATCATGGCGTAATTAGGCTCAAAAGATTCGTCTCGCATTTTACATGCAAACTGTGCAATTGGTTTTTTTTTCCCATGTAATGCCCTATGCATGTGTCCAAACATTTGATGTGACGTTTTTGTCCTAAATTTTTTGGGATCTAAACAAGGCCTATGTGGATAATGTTTTCCATTTCAGTAAACTTGGGGTTGTTTGGCAATGTACAATGGTCTAACATACCAACACACCACCACAACCTTTCTTTTCTATTGGCTTCCTTCAAATAAGGCTTCAATGAGTTAGAGTGACGTCGTAGATGCCCTTCTTTGAACAATCTATGAAATGTGCTTTTTGACACACCTAGCGCTTCAGCAGGTGACCGTATAGTGCTTCTTTGCTATAATGGAATTGCTGCTACAACTAACAAGTCTATTTCAACCTTCTTGCGCCCACAATTATAATGCTTCCTTCAGTCAACATTAACTTGTACTCCCTGTGCACTGCAAAGTTGTGCTCTCTTCCAAATACGTTGGACTGTACGTATGCTCATATTGGACACTTCAACAACTACATGTGTGCTGCCCGTTTCTACTTTTCCATCCATACTTTTTGCAAGCAACAATTCATAAATGCCTTGCCTTTGTGGGTTTGTCAATTTTCTGGACTTGATTGGCTCATTTGCATTTGCATCATTTTCTTCTTCATCTGAGTCGAGCAACTCGTCTACATTGAACACAACATTGATAGCATCGGCGTACACACCATACTCTTGAATGTCATACTCCAAGGCTTGTAGCTCATGTTGCAAAACATCGTCGTCATCTACAAAATTATTTACTTGGTAAGTTAATGTGGCTAATCAGATTATGCTGATTTATTCACAACCGAAATCAAGGACATGAACATATTCTTAACTAATTAAAAAGTCATGAACTTTACCTAGTTCAATACCTTGTTTCTCATTTGCGTTTGCATTAACATGAAGGGTGTGCTCCTTGAGTTGGTGATCATTGTCTGAAAAAAACAACTTGCTAGTCAGTACCCTTTACCTAGCCACAAAGCACATTGTATATGTTTAGGATATGCAATGTCATGACTCATACTGTACGTTAGAACAATATTATCTATTCCATATATTATCCATGACTTAGGCATACAACTATGCAACTGAAGTTTACACTCTTTTTTTAGTATTGATTCCAGTACTACCCTATGCTTGTATTGATGTAGCGTAATCAACAATGTTATGTTGTGGCTTCATGTCTATATGTTGATTTTCTTTTATGCATTGTGAAAGATTAGTTGCCCTTTCTATGATTTTTTAATGTAGCTATCTGTCATAATTCTATTTTACACAACCTTTTGAGGAGGAATATGTCATTTATCTGGTCCTTTTTTCTGTGATGAATCAGGTGGTGAAGGCATACAATGGCAGTTCATGCAGATGGGAAACTTCATGGATGGGGGTGCAACAAAGTGATCATTGAATTACCTTGTACTTCTCTCTTTTATGATAACTTGAAAATTTGTAGGCTGAATTGCTAATCAAATTATGCACAAATCTTGCTTTGTCGATGTGGTTGTGTTGATGAATCAAAAATCTTAAATATTTAACATTATTTAGGAGAAAATGGAAGTAGATGAGCTAAACTGTCAAATTATCGTAGTACCAATCTTTTGTTTTGTTAACATCATGTGTGTGTGCTGATCATGAGGGGCAGAGGGAGTAGAGTGTGCTGCACATGTCATAGAATACCATATATTTTTTTCTAAACTAGATTGAATAATGCAATCATCATCAAGTATTGCAAACAACATTTAATGCACTGATAAAGATCCATGTGATGCATTGAGAAAAAATAGATGACGTAAAAATAACCTAGATCCATTCCTTCTTCTGCAGCTTCCATGCAGCTTCCATGTTGAGATCAAAAGTTTGCAAGTTCAGATCAAAAGGGAGTACAACATGTTCATTTCCATGCCAAGCAACTCTAGCAAGGTAAGCTGCCCGGGAAACAACCCTTCCTTCTTCTATATTGTCTTTTGCTTCATTGAGGTTAGGTAGGGCTGTCAAAAAAGCTCGAGGCTCGCAAGCTGCTAGAGCTCGACTCATCCTAGGCTCGATTCGAGCTCGTCTCGGGCTCCAAACGAGCCAAGCCCGAGCCTCTCCCAAAGCTTGTGGGCTTTGTCAAGCCGAGCTCGAGCTTCCAACGAGTCTAGTAATATATGATTTTTTTATGTAATAAATTAGGATATCAAATATGTTACTTGTATGCCTTGTATTGGTGTCATATACTTATTTTATTCTTTTTTCTTCTTCTATTAATATGATGAACTAGAAAATAATTATTTTTTAAAATATTATCCTTGAAATATGCATTATTGTACTTAAAAATCAAGCTCGGTAGTCGAGCTTGAGCTTGATCGAGCTCGAACCAAGCCTGTCTAAAAGTTCGAACATTTTATAGGCTTGGCTCGAGCTCGAGCTCGAGCTTGGCTCGTTGACAGCCCTAAGGTCAGGCAAAGGCCTTCCAAATGTCTAGATCTATAGCGATTGTGATGTCTGGACATTGAGTTGGTTTACCACACAGTTTGATGAATGCAATGGAAAAAGGTTGTCTGCTTGGTTCCTTCAGAATTTATAGGACATGAAAGGGTACACCTTGGCAGCAAAACACCATCAATGGAGTATTTTGAATTAGTGGGTCTAGCTAGGTTACTTGCCCCTTGTAATTTTACCGCATGAGCATTCAAATTATGTGCATGCCACCATTACGGAGTAATTGTATATGTTTAAATTATCCCTTCTGTGGACGTGGTTGGTGCTTGTGTGACAATTCCCTGCATCTTGAAATGACTACCTGCAGCTAATGATTTGGGGGTGTTTGGGTAATTTTCTCCCAAAGCTAATTTGTGTCAGCATTCATGGGATGGCCACTATAGTGGGATAGAGGGAGTACTAAATTTGGGAGAAGAGGTGGATCCGAAGGTGGATGGATGAGGTATAGAGGTTGAGCTCAGCTTGGGCATAGTACCAAAGGCAGCAAGGGACAAGCATGAGCGTGATGCTCAAGCTCAGGGCAGCAAAGGAGTTGGAGCCTTGGTCCTGGGAAGGATGATATCGAGCCTGTTTAGATTGATGTCATTTTCATTTTTTTTGAAAATTGCCAAAGATATGTCTACATTTAGTTTTTAACGAAACTTTGGTGAATACATATGAAATCTCGTCAAAATTATGGTAATATTGCCAACTTAACAAAATTTTGGCATTGCTAAAATTTGGTAAGGTATATTTTTTGCTACAATATAAACAACCCCATCATCTTATTCCCACAATAAAGTAGTTTAACCCTAGTCCAAAGTACAATATGGATAAAAAAGACATGGTCTAATGTGCATCATACGTTGGAATGCATCATAGGAAATTCGAGATTATATATTGGTTTAATAGAGAGAGATGAAATTTGAGATTATATGTTGGTTAGAGAGAGAAAGAGAGAGATCAAAGAAACTGGAAAACGTGAGGTTATAACTTATAACCCTCTCATGCTACGCTAGAATTTCTCTAAAATGTGGATGAATTTTTCTTATCCTACGAATATCCTTTGAAGCTTCCTTCAAACCAAATGAGCCAGATAGAAAATATTCCGAATTGAATTCCTTCAATTCTCCCTGGGGAAATCGTTCAATCCAAATGAGCCTTGCAAGGTCTAATGCATGACAATTAGGGGATGACTACGGATCGGACGTTCGATTTTTTAGTTAAAAATCGGATGCCCACCTCAGCCTCCGCCAACGCATGAAGACACACCAGGACCAGGTGAAGCCCACTGCAAACATCAGAAGCCATGCATCCATACTAGAAAACAAAAGTTAGGTTGGTTTAAGTTTCTTTGAGCAAACTTTAAACTATTTTTTCTCTTAAATTACTTCTCCAATTCATGATTCGATTGCACCACTAAATTCGTTACAATTAAATCTTTAAAACATGACCAAACATGGCTATAATCCGATGAAAAAAATATTTAGCTTTATTCATGAATTTTTTAAATGTTGCACCTATTACATTTAAATGTTTCAGCTAGTATTCATATGATGTTTTACTATTTTAATTTGCAAATGTTGCACCTATTATATTTAAATGTTTCGGCTAGTATTCATATGATGTTTTACTATTTAATTTGCAAATATTGCACGTGGTGTTCTTGGAATGTTTTAGCAAGTATTTTATAATGTTTCAATAATTATAGTTTAGTGTTCATATGCGATATAAAAATATTTCAACAATATCAGGTTTTTATAAATATATTGTATCTCTTATATGATTTTTTTTCACTCATTTAGGACTCAGTGTTTCATATAAGTGGTTGCTAGTGTTGCAGCCCATATTTTTAAATGTTGTATTTCTCTGAAACATTTTATAGAGTGAATTGAAACAAATTTTTGTAATGAGTGAAACATCGTTTGATTTTTTATCAAAATATAATCGTGTGATATCTTATTGTAAAGATTTAATTGTAAGGAATACAATGATGTAATCATATTGTAGATTAGATAATTATTTTAGGAGAAAAAAATATTTAAAGGCGGAGAAAAGGGTGCAGATGAGTAAAAAAAAATTACATGTGGACATGTATGAATAGACATGACATGTGCAGCGTACACTGCGAATGAGAAAAGAAAAAAAAAATATAGATTGAAACTATTGACTAGTATTCGTACATGTTGAAATATGCTAACAGGCGTCTCACCATACGGTTTCAGTTAATCCCTCTCACAAGATGATTGAGGGAGATTTATAGAGAATTTATTTTATATCTATTATGATATGAAAATTATTTTTTTCTTATCAATCCCCTCCAATTTTTTCCTTGCGAGGATTAAACGAACAAGCCCTAATGTCTAATCCTCCCAAGGGCTCAGCGCATAAACAAGAATCGGGATCGTCAACAATGGCGACGGGGGAGAAGACGACTCGAGCGGGGAGCGAGTCCTCAGGCCACCATTGGGCGGGTTACAGCTGCAGCGCAGGAGAGGCCAGCAGCCCCCGCCTCCCGCTCCGGCATCGCCCTCCCCCGAGAGACTTCCGCCGCTACATCATCTTCGGTTGCCCTTATCGCCACCCCAAGAAGGTGAAATTTTATCCAAATATAATATCGGAATGCCATCTATTCCCCTCATCTCATCCCATGTCTGCTCTGCAACGATTTCCCGTGATTAATTTTTCGCCTGCGTTGCATACGTTGGAGAAGAGGATAGGTGAACGGCTCTCGTTTTACTAGGGACTTGTATCTTTGTGATGATTGAGGCAGGCAGGCAGGCTTGTTCATATCCATGTCTACTTTCTCAACAGAGGAGCTGATCTGCAACTGATGGATATACACCCATTATAGTTCTAATCAGACCTAATCACTGTTACCTCCAATTCAATCTGATTAATCTTTCAAAGAAAATGGCCATAATGACATGGATCATGGTATATGTTGGGCTGATGGCCAATTGTTTATCTTTCACTAACTAATGGTTTATTAATACCGCATATATGGATTTTTTTTTTCTTTTGGTGCCCATTTATATAGTAGATACTAGTATGTAATTGAGTTCCTATTATTGACCTGGTCTTACGATGCCAGTTAAAATTTCCTAAGGACTAATCCTTCTATGTTGCTATTGGCGCTATCTGCCAATGTGCTTGTGTTCAGTCAGAACTACCATAAAAGTTGTTCTTTCATGGAATTGCAAAATTTTTGGGGAAAAACCAATACAAGTTAAGTACTCAATGTTTTTTTCCTTGATGGACATTATCATGTTTTTAATTCATGTTCTTAAACTCCAGACTCCTCCACGAAATCTAAATGTTCTTTCTAGAAATCAATCCTTGTTACTTCATGTAATCCTGGTCTGATGTTCTGTACAGCCGAAAGCACCCGCAAAAGACAAAGTCCAAGAGAAAGTACCACAGCAGACCATGATTGCTAGCTGGGGCATGGCCAATTATGTTGAATATAATCAAGTGTAAGGCTTTTGAAATTATAACTGCTTTTCTTTCTGAAAATTAAACCATTGATTGTAAATTTCCAACTGTTGGTTTATAGGAAGAACATTTTTCAGGAGATTGGTGAGATTGTTGGTATTTATTTCAGTAGCACGAGGCATCTCGCAGTTGTTGATTTTTCTACAGAACAAGCTGCTGAGAGTGTAAAGCCTTATCTCTGTTGTTTGTGTTGTATACCTGGTGTAGCACTGCACAGTTTTTATTTTCTCATGATTCATGTTGCAATGTTTGAGGATGACAACACTGTTTATATTGATTTTCAGGCACTCTACCATTTTATGGGATATCATCTGATGGGACGCCCTTTAAAACTTGCATGGTTCGATCCCAAGGACTTTGCTGTTCTCAGGTATATGTCTGTTAACTGTGACTTCATCAGCTTTATCGCTATGCTATTGTTTTTGCCTCATTAACATTGCACAAATTCTTCCGAATTGTTCAGAGATATACCTACTCGTGGGGAGAGAATGCCTAATTATTTAATGCAGACTGTATGTGTGACCGGCTTTGATTCATCCCTCGAGATTGGAACGGTAACTATACTGTTGCTAACTACTCCCTCCGTTTCATATTATAAAACTTTCTAACATTGCCCACATTTATATAGATATTAATGAATCTAGACATATATATGAATGTGAACAATGCTAGAAAATCTTATAATATGAAACGGATGAATACTTTCCTTTTAACCTTCTTGCGTTGGCTTGCCTTTTGGAGTGATGGGCCCTAGGGAATTCCCCTCGACAATTTGCCCATTTCAGATTAGGCACGCACTTGAAGAAATTTTCGCGAACGATCATATGAAAAAACTTGTAACTCCCGTGAATCTAGATGGCACAAGCACAGGGTAAGTCAGAAAAACCTGTTCCTGCATGCATATCTTTTCTACCTGTTTCAACTATCCTTTTGACTTCCATTACCATTTTACCTCTGCTCTTCCAAATTTCACAGGAAAGCATACATAAGATACGATGTTGCGAGCAGCTACAATGGTGCGCTCCACTGTGACGGCGTGTCCGAGATTGGAGGCCGCATTCTGCGCGTCACAAAATGGCCTGATTTTTCATGGTGCAAGAAACGAAGAATAGGGAGAGCTGGTTGTGACAAGGACGACGCAGGATTGGCAGTGCCAGATCAGGACGACACTCCTAAGTGGCACACGCCTAGCACAGGTAATATGCAGAGGTTGCTGATCTTTAATTGTTTAACCATCATCATAGGTGCTGCTCTTGCCTTAATTTGTAGCTGATGTGATGACTTGCTGTGCAGTCAATCTTGGTTAATGTTATAACATTTCTGGCTTTGGTTAGTAGATGATGATGATGATTTGGCCATCTTGCAGGGAAGAGGACCTTGTTCGACGATGGGAGTGGCGATGAAGCCGGCGTTACCATGTGATATAGTATCATGTGAATTCAATCAATTCATCGTGGTGTGCATAGATTGGAAACAGTTTACGCTCAATTAATTAGTCATGTTTGCTAGTGCATTTAAATGATAATAGTACTGCTAACTTATTGATTTGATATAAAAATTCATGCCTTTTTTTTATTCTACGGCTGATCGTTTGAATGACAGATGTAGAAAATGAATGAAGCAACCAAAAATAATGTGTAAAACTTCTATACATGTGCTATTAGCAGTCCATTAAAAATCCATGGTGAAAAAAATAGTCTACAATGAAGAAACCCCTAAATTTGACTTAAAAGGGCATGTTCAGATTATAACCAAAATAAACCTTACCAAATTTTGGCAAGTTGGTAATATTGCCAAAATTTTGGCAGGATTTATTATGTATTTACTAAATTTGACAATAAACTAAATGTAGACATTTTTTTTGACAACTTTCTCAAAAAAAAACAGTATGGTTGAAAATGACATCAATTTGAACAGCCTCAAAATTAATTGCTAAAATTCGAATTTCCTTGTGTCTGATCAGACAATTTTGAGATCAGTTGTGTATGAACGTGAAATCGTTGTATACAGTTTTGCCGGATTGCATGAGCTTGGTGGCGGTTAAACAGGTTGGAAGTTAGAACGGCGTGTCTCCATGTAACAGCAAAATTTGTATGAATTTGAAATCTCCAAATCCGAAAAGCGAACCACCCTGCGTGGCTGCGTCAGAACATCAGATGAAGCAAACCCCCCTGCGTCCGACCCCTTGGGAACCTGCGACCCGGCCCATTAGATGCAACAGAAGATCGGCCCATACTATATGGATTGTGGCATCCGTGCGGGCCATATTATGTGGGTCGGTAAAGGGCTCGGCCCATATCACGTGCTGTCAAGGTATGCATCATACCGTCAAAAGCACGTTTTGAGCGTGCACAACGACCTCCAAAAAAACAAGAGCATAAGAAGTTGAACACATGGATTTCTCTAACTTCAACTCATTCTCCCTCAATGCAGTTAACCGACACTGAAGACTTGAAACATTTGGTTATATGTAGTCTGTAAATGTCATCTAGAGTATGTACTAATCATCATAAAAATCCCAAAGCAGAAAAAAGAATGATGATGAGAGAAGCTCAAAAACATTTTTCTCACGCCTGGATGGATGGGTGGATTTGGATGTTCTAAAACGGGGATAATCACCAGTCTTGGTGACCACTGTTTGCAACCCAATGTCTCTTGTGTGACTGGCATGTATCATTAAAAACGGGTCAGTCATCTTATTGCGGTGGTTCAGGGGCGTCGTCGTCGAACTCGTTCATGTGGTCCAAGAGATAGTTTGCGGCCAACAGCTCATCCTTGTTGCACGCGAAGAATACCTCCAGGACCAGATCGCGATCAAACCCCATTTGTTCCAGCTGCACAAAAGAACAAAGTGACGTGATGTTACAACTTGCAGGTGCAAAAAACGTGGATAAAAGCAACAAGATGGCATGAAACAAGTGGCTCGGTTTTGTGGTACTGCAGAAGAACACATATAGTGCTTACACGTTGTATGGCTTCGTTCTCCTCAGGTGTGACAGCCACTGTTTGAGGCATTCCCGCAGCAAACTGGTCTAGCAAGTTCCTGGTTTACGGTATCAAGCGTCAAGCACAAAAACGAATGTTGAAATATACAAATACTGACATCACTAGTGGCAAACTTGCAATGCATACCCTTCAGCTCCCTCTGCAGGTTCGTTGATTAAGCGCAGGAACTCAGCCTGGTTTTCCTGAATCAGTTGCAAAATCTGTGGATTTTGTTTCCCCAACTCTTGAAGCAAAGGCTGCATGCCAGAATTTGTACATCAGTGCATATGTCGTATAGAGTACAACAACTAGAAGAAAAAGATGAAAAAGTAACCTGCAGAATTTGAGGGTTAGCCTGCACCAAAGAAAGCAAGCCACGGAACTGTGAATTGTTTCGCAGAACATCAAGATTTCCACCACCAGCATTTGCAGAAGCATTTGGAAGGACCTGAAAAAAAAATTGAAAGAATTCAGAACTAGTACTTTTTGTGTGCGTGTGTATGTGGTTGTGTGAGTTGTGGAGGCAGAACCTGAGGAAACAGGTCCAATGGATTGGCATTGGGTCCAGATGATGGAATTGAAAGTTGAGCTGATTGGGGAGCCTGGCTTGGGTCAACTGGTTGAACTGCAGCAGGGACAGGAAGTGCTTGAACTGCAGCAGGGACAGGAAGTGCTTGAACTGCAGCAGGGGCCTCAGCTTGCTCAGGAACCCCCTATATCAAATACACAAAGTGCAATAGATTAGTCACATGATAAAATTGTGCCCGAAAAGCAGCAGAAGTGGCAGAAATAAGTTCAAAGGAGAGAAAAGGGTGCAACCATTGTTTGAAATAAGTGGTTTCCTGTTGCCCAAGGGCACATACCAAAGCATGCATGACAAGAAAGTGCCTATGTCGTTAAAATTGTTTTTTGATCTGTTTATTTATTATTTTCAACAAGGCATTGCAAAAACTTAAATAACACAGATTAACAACATCTTTCTATTAGTTTAATATTTTGAGACTCCCTATTTGTTTTAAAAGTTTTGACGACATAATAGCACGTCAGGAAGTCCAAGCAACAAGACACGGAAAACATGGGAGGTAAGCAGAAATGATTCTTACGGTGTACAAATACTCCACAGCCCGTTCTGGATTGTTGTATGCAGCTCGCAGAGCACGCATAACAGTGTCACGGTCCCAAGCTCCTCCACCCATTTCAAGAATTGACTGAACAGTCCCTTCTAAATTGCTTCCAGCAACAAGGTTCGACGCAGCTTGACCATAATTATCTGCTTCGGTGCTGGTAAAATCAAATTATCAGATAGTATTGTCAAAGTGGCCTTTCATATCTTGCCAAATAAAACAATGCCAAACAAAGGAACAAAAGCAAAAGAGGGTGATTGATCAGATTCTTAAATTCAAAGGAAACATGTAACAACTCACGATGCAGCGGTGACAGCAGCTGCTGGAGCTGAAGCAGTTGTTGCAGTTGGAACTGGTGCAGTCACAGGCTCGCTACTGGGAAAAGCAAAACGTTGCAATTAGGTGGCAACAAAAGAACTCAATTTGCAAATTAAGATGTGGACCTAAATATCACCATGATGGATATAATGGCCAAGAGAACATTAGTTACTAACTACAGTTATTGTTAAAGAAAGACAATTTAAGGACTGAGAAAAATGGATCCTTGAGCACATAAGTGCTCAATGATTTCAGTCAGGCCAATATGGGTGGATACTTACACAGGTGCTGGTGGAGCAGGTGGTTGGGTTGCAGGCGCAGTGGGTATCGCCCGGTCAACTGAGGGCTGCAAGACATACATATTAATTTGATTGTACAACAAGCGAAATTTTGAGTTCAGTGTCAAATTACAAAAAGAGAATAACAATTCTACAAGCCAACAACCATAAGCATATAAAAGAAATAGTACAATCTCATATCAGGTATACAACATGTAGAAATCTTGAATTGTCAATGGTAGTTCTCCTTAAATCATATACTTGGATGGGCATCATGTATCCAGGAGATGATATTATTAAACCAAAAACCTTACAGGAAAAGCGTATAAAAGAAATAGTACAATCTCATATCAGGTATACAACAAGTAGAAATCTTGAATTGTCAATGGTAGTTCTCCTTAAATATATAGGACAGAGCAGATTTCCTCTTGAGTGAGTCAATAAAATTTCCAGATCAGTTGAATAAGACTTAGCACATTTACTTTATTGATCAGTGATATTCTAAGAAACCACATAGAACACTAATTAAAAAAATGGGAAAAATAATACTGAGAAACAGATTCAATGATATAATGAAACATGGCTATTCTACCGCACCTGTTTTGTGGGCTCCTTAGCTGTACTTGAAGCAGCACTTGATGATCCCTTCTGCAAATAGAATTGTCCAAGTTCTATTTAATAAAAATTATAGCATAGATAAATCACAAAATCCTGAAAGGAAAATATTTGCATCATACGTTCATAACGAGGCATGACCCATATTTGTGCTATTTCACAAATATGTTGCATACTGAGGCACCTTAGATAGCATTAAGCTCTCTACTATAATAATGATAAAAATTTAACGCACCTTAGATAACATTATCACAATGAAGTTGTTCTCAACAACTTTGTTCTCTTCAAGTGTTGTGTCGTTTTTAAGGACATTCCCTTGATGGATCAGCATTTGCTGATCAGCGGGGTAGACATTATCTCCTTGCGTAACCTCGATGAGCTTTTTAACATCACTGACCTGCATAAAACAATCATAGTCAAACAGAATGTATTTGTATTAATCAATTTAATATGGTGTTCACGTGGCAAGAAAACATTGCTTTGATGTATCTGGGGAGGCGAGTCATGAAAAAGTGCAGTAATGAGTACTACATATTAAGATTCCAATCATGGATTGTAACGTAACCGACTAACCGTTAACATCACTCCAGTAAAACCACCTGACCATAGTTAATGGTAACTGATGGGCAATTTTTACAATAGTTACTATGTGTACATACTCATGTGGAATAACTAAGCAGCATTTATCACACGTTAATATATATTCCAAACTAGTTGGAACTATATGCATAAACAGAAATTGTCCTCCCTTTGATCATCAAAACAATATAGAAAACGAATGAGAAAACATACCGTATTAAGTTATGTGCTGAAGAGCCTAAGCGCTATGATCAAAGGTTTAAGAGCTTTGCTAGAGTGGCTATCCCTAGTCCAAATCTTAGATTCAAACAAATATTGCATAATGACGCTACAGTTATCGTTCCATGGTCTAGTCATATATATAACATTACTGGAAGAAACAGTCCTCATCACACGAGCCATAATAACACAACGATACCAGCGCGTATAAGTACAAATTCATGGCCTGCCTGTTCCAACGGTCATTAAATACAGCTTACTCGTGCACACACACCTATATAAAGATATATCCGTAATCCCGCGATCCGCTCACAACAAGCTGAACACATAGCAACCAAGCTCCAGTATGCAATAATATCAATAAAAGCGATGGAAGATAAAGACACGGTACTGAATCGCGGACTACGCTAATCAATACATCATCAAGCAGATACACGCATACATACAAAGCCATAACAAAACCTAATATTGCTTCCAACCATCATATACTACACCAGAACACTCAATACTCAATAGCAGCTCCCCCAACTCGCAGCGGCGACGAACAGAGCCCCACCTACCTAACCAGCACAAAAGCCACGCCCCTAGACGATGAATCCGCCCTCCATTACCACTCCCCAATCCCCCTCACCCCCAAATCCCGCAACCCTAGAGCCCCATCCCCGCCCCCCACTGCATCCACGCTGCTGCTAACCCCCGTGGCGCTCTAGACCAACCCGATCCATCCAAACACCCCCACCATCTGCAAACCCGCCGCCGCCGCGGCGACGGGGTAGATTCACACACACAGGGCATCACATCACAGATCAGAGGAGGGGAGGGGGGAGGCCGCCGCGGCGTACCTTGCTGGTGGGCTCGACGTCGATCTCGAAGCTGGAGCCCTTGAGCGTTTTGATGGAGACCTTCATCGCGCCGCCGCCGCCGCCCGCCGCCGAGCTCGCGAGGGGGAGGAGGAGCGGAGAAGGGGAAAGAAACGAAAGAGGAGAGGGGTAGTGTCGCGTAATATATGTGTGTAAAAAGAGGGAGAGACCTTTTTCGGGCAGGGTCCCTCTGATGATGAGGATTTTTTGTGTACCAAAAAGGTCTCTCTCACTGTTAACGGGAGAGAAGCCCAGTCACAACTCAAACTCATCACAAACAAAACTCGACTACGCGTACCGTATTTGTTTCTCGTTTTCGTTTTGGATTTGGATTTGGAAACATATAAATGATGAATATCCTCAATACGAAGATAAATATTATCGAATATAGACATGAAACGAATACGGTTAAAATACTTGTCTGACGGACTTATGAAAAATTGCCTGAAAATATCAATTGTTATTCTATATAAAAGAGTAGACTACTTTTTTTTAAAAAAAAATAGCAACTGTATATGTGTATAACGATATCGTATAAACACGTACAAACTAATGGTGTCCAAGGTTTACAATTCTGAGATGACTTTCCGTTCCAGGCTCTGGCGGTATGACAATTTTCATGAAATCCGGTGGAAAACAGGTAGATTTTGAACAAATTTCATAAACCAAAATTTAACTACAAATTCACTGAGTTTACCAATATGCTCGCGAAAACCGGTTGACTTTGGCGAAATTCTGAGCGAAATCAGGTGCGGGACCACATCACCTTTCTATTCTATTAACTGGGCTAAGTACTAAGTGGGCCTACTCCTTGGAATTCGGCTGAGGAAAGTGTTTTCCTTTTCTTTAAATCGTTATTCTTTTCTTTCCTACTATAAAGTTCAAGAAATACATGGAATACACCAAATTTCTGGAAAATTTATACTCAAATAGACTATATGAATATCATACTGTTTATAGGATTTTATTTGTTTTTTTTCTTTTTTATCAATTCAAATTTGAATTTTGATAAAACCCATCGAAATTCCAGATTTCCTCTACTTCCGAGCCATGTCGAAACCTCGGTTTTCCACGGAATTCAACCGGTTTTCTTTGGAATCGTGAACCCTGATGGTGTCCATCTTAAACCTCAATTTAATATTTTATAATTAGATTGTAAAAAGGAATGAGAAAAAAAAAACAAGTGCATAAGGCATACATTTATAGCTAGATGCCATGCTTTGTATAAAAAAAATACTATGAACAAGTAGAGCTAGAGATGGGCCTAAAAATTAAAGTAATGAGTTAGAGCATCTCCAACAAACTACTTATCTAGCTTGCCAAGTCAAATTTTAGTAAACTTGGAGAAAAACCAGTATCCAACAGATTTGCCATTAGCCAAGCCAAATCACTTGCTAAATCAGCTTGGGTGGAGGCAGCAAGGATGGGTTGCACTGGCGACTTGGGCTGAGGCAACGAGAGGTAGGGGTAGGGGAATGGACGAAAACGATGGGAAGAGGAAACAATAGAGGGAGGAAGAAGTATATATAGATCGACATGTGAGACCTACTATCATATTGGATAGGGTAAATAGAAAGGCCGATGGAGTGAAAGATAAATTGGCTATCTAAATTTTTAACAAGCTGACAAAATGGATATCTAAGGTCAAATTTGAAGAGGTTGTTGGAGATGCTTTTAGGTCTTTGTTTCCAAAACTATCCTAATAGGTTAGGAGTTAGGACCGTATTTGTTTACACTGTATATTAGCACTTTTGTATAAGTTTCTGTGACCGAAGGGAAAAAGTCCGAATTCATTTTCGAATCTAACCCTAGCCGGATAGTTCAAACAAAAAAAAAAACAACCCCCCACCCCCACCCCCACCAAATAGCTGGATCCTTGTCTTGGTATCAGTATTTGCTCGGTTACTCCAAAGTTGAAGGGATTCGATAATTTGCTGACCTGTGCTTGATAGACTTGTTTGCAATATCTAATAAACTGATAAAAAAGAAAGATAATTGATGGAATGTTGTCTGCAACTGCAAGCAAGTGATCTTGACTGCCGTCTCTCTTCGATCTTCCATTTTGTCTGGTGCTTTTAGGATGCCTTCAATCTTCTTCAAGCCACTTGTCTCGTGCTTTTCACGGACAAATGTCTCTCTCAAGGTCACACCTTGGATTCGACTCCAAAAAATGGAGATTGGGGGAAAAAGAATCATATCGCTCAGAATTACTAATCGTTGCATAGAGAAGCCATTTGCGCCTCGTCGGGTTAGGCACCCACACCAACATCACAGAAACTTCAGGTACGACTACTGTATAAACTTCACACAAGTAATAGCAGAATCATTTAAATTTGCACTGCTTGTTGCGAATAGATACTCATTTACAAAATTAAATTAATTATCCTGGAGCAAATAATATGCATCTGCTCAGGAAACACAGCTCATGATGCTGCGCATTGCAGATATCGCTCATGAATAAGTAATTTTTGCTATTGCAATTTGGTAGGGACAAACTTCTGAGCAACATCCAGCCCTGACTGATTCCACCTTGTTATATTCATACGCAAACTTGCATCTTGTAAAGCTTAAGTTCCTATTTTTCTTCTTCGTTGCACTGAATTCCCTCTTACAGTCATCATTGATTACATTTTTTGGAGAGGTACCAAGGCAACCATAGCTGGTATATTGCTACATATGCTAAACTAACAACACTTGAAGTGCACCCCCAAAAGACCATCTACTGTGCACCACAAGTTCTACTAAGAGAAAAGCTTTGTCACGATCAGTATCAACCATCAAGCGATATTACGAAGATAAAGCACTGCCCAGGGAAGAACGATCAGAAGCCCAGTCACAGTTGTGGATAACCATGGGGATCATGTGGTGCCCAAGATCCAGTGCCATAGCGGCTGCCTATGGAAGGATAGCCATCATCATAGACGCCTTGCAGGCCCATCCCTGGAGTCGCCATTGGTGGTCCATAAGCTCCATGGCCGCTGAAACCTAAAATCAAACATAGTATGTTGTTGTGGGTCAGCGCCATTGATTTCCATAACTTTCAAGCTAGCAAAAGAAAAGAAACCTACTGGGTGCATTTCTCTTCTTAATCTCAGCCCTCAGCTTCTCAGATTCCTGAGCCATAGAAACAAGATCCTTCTCCATTGCCTGCACCTGTGCTGTCAGATCAGGCCTTGCCTTCTTCTCGTACTCAAGGGTTCCCCTACAGTGATATTAATCAGTTTGATCTTCCACCTGGTGAAAAGAGGAAGATGATACTCAAGTACCCCACTTTTTTTCTTTAGAATTGAAACTGTAGGAAAGGATCCTAAATGCGCTCCTTCAAGCAGCAACTTAGAACTAACACTTGATCCATCAAGAAAAGCAATAAGAAGCAATCATTTTACACGAAATATGATGCAGAATAGTTCAGTACCTCATTCGGACTAGTTCCTGCCGAAGAGCATCACGTTCAGCTATCATGACAGGTATTTTCTGGTTCTCAGAATTCTGATGCTCAAGCTCTTTTAACAACCCCTGCACCTTTGCAGTCATCTCTTGCCTTATTGACTGTAGTTTCCCGGCCTCGGACCGTAGCTGTAAGGCATCTTGCCTGAGGGGTTCTAAGGAACGTAGTTCAGCTTCCAACTTCAGATTCCTCTGAGTCAGCTCCCTTGACTCAAGTTCTTTTTCTGCACGAAGCTTGGGTATAGCTTGACTTGCGGCATGGAGATCTTCCTTCAGACGAGGCATTGCCTGCCTGAGACCAACAATTTCATCAGCTAGGCGCTGATTGTCATCATGGATTCTGCGCATCTCAGCACGGCGGCTAGACAGCTCCTCCTCCAAGCGACGTGGAGAGATGGGCCTTGCTCGAGCAAGTGGAGGTGGGGGGCCATCACGAAATCCTCGACGTTCATCATAGTATTCACGAGGTATGCGGTGTCTTCCTGCCATTTATAGACCTACTCAAGAATGTCACACATTAGAACATGAATAGGACCCCTCTTTTGAAATTCATACACGGTGACAAAAAAAAAAAGGAACGTAGTGTGAATTAAGGAAAATCTCACAGAAAAGCAAACAAGGCTCTTACACACATTTTTCAGCTAAAAGAAAGTTCTCTCACTTGATATTTTCCACTCCTAACCACTTCCACTTCTAAGAAATAATTACCGTATGGAGGAAAAAGGTCATGTAGCACATACACCCTCCGCTTTTTAATGTATGATGCCGTTCACTTTTAAACATATGTTTGATCATTCGTCTTATTCAAAACTTTTGTGCCAACATATAAAAATATAAGTCATGCTTAAATAACCTTTAATAATAAATTAAGTCATAAAAAATAAATGATAATTACAAAAAACGTATCTCAAAATGTCAACGGCGTCATATATTAAAAAACAGAGGTAGTATTTTACATCATATGTACCATAGTCACTTTCTCATAATATATACTACCTCCGTCCCAACATATAGCAACTTTTGGCTATGAATCTGGACACACAGTTGTCCAGATTCATAGCTAAAAATGCTTATATTTTGGGACGGAGGTAGTACTACAATAGGGAACTTCATAAAGTTTGTTTGTTGGCAATGTCATTGGTTTCCATAGGTTCATGTGTTCACTCTGCAGAACATGTACACACATTCACATGCTTAATATCTTCAGTGAAGGTAATTTCTTTAGCCATTAGATTAGACTGAATTTATTAACAAGGCATTTTATCATCATGTTTGCATTTAAACTTTTCAGAAACCTTGTTCACCATGGTTATATTAATAATAATGCTAGAAAAGATATGTAAGTCAATGCTAGCCTGCTAGCACAAACTTGGGGTGGTTTAGAAAATAAAGAGCCAAAGGGAATAATGGGTAGCACGCACAGACAATACCACAAGTCCACAATAACAAACGTGCGATCCAAGATGACAAAAAGGGTGTGTCATCTGGGGCCAGTCAAAACCACACAAACATGACTTCACTGCCTATGAGTTTATCGTGATGTGATAACTGATAAAACTAATAAAAAGGACTTCTCATGGAAGAAGCATACAAGTGACTTTGTGAAACAAAAGACCAGCTTGATCATCCTTAGACTTGACAAATGAAAAGCAACCAATGTGTTCAAAGGATTTCAATATAATTTTGTGTGACCAGAACATATATACACAATTTTGTCCTGTTCTTCAGTAGAATAAAGAAGGAAAAACATGGCATATTTCTGCTTGCTCTGGTTCTGTATAAATTTTCCAAAAAAAAAATCACCAATAAAAAATGTTCACAGCTGCGCGTTATAGAATGGCATTTTTGTTCACCACAGTGTGTTTTACTTATACAATAACGTGTGGCATGGATGAGCATATACCAGCTGTAATATATCAGAAAGTGGGGAAAAAGAGAGATAATGTGCAATATGTCCATCTGGCTAGTTAACTAACTATGATTTTACAAACCTAACAAAAGGACCAGCACATAGTAACTGGAAGGAACTTGATGCCTAATGCTATAGCAGGCAACAAAACAGCAGGACATATAAGACCCCAGAGAGAGAGAGAGAGAGAGAGAGAGAGAGAGAGAGTTTTAGGATTAAAACAGTGCTTGTCAATACAACCAAAAACATTATGCAAGGTGAAGAGAAAATCCCTTATTAGTGGAATTGTCCAACGATGTATACCGTTTATGTTAAAGAAAAAGGTAGCAAGTCCCACCGTGTAATGCTAGAGTTACAATAGATCTTTGTAGCACAATAGTAGTTGGTATGTATATTATGAAATTGCGAGAAAAGGAAGAATCTCAGAAGCACACTTAAGTTGTAGTGAGTGTCAGGGGTACACCTAATACCGTGCTCCTCTTTTATGGAAGATTTATTTCGACGAAAAAAGTGTGCATTTACATCCAACAGAAAATATTTGCAGAAGTTGCTTTAGTGAGAAGCTGCATCAGCATATGAAAGCAGAAAAAAAAATGAAGGAAGTAACTTCAAAGGTAGGCACACAATCACAGACCGATCAGTAAAAGGCTATATCTGAACAAAAAAACACTATGTTGACATGATCCAAGTAATGCCAATCGGTTTCACGCTAAATAAACCCCATACGGCCATATCGACAAATACTATGTGCCAACATGGTACGGTGATTCCACACCTCTACATCAATCCTGCAGCAACACATACAAAAATTACACGCAACTATATGATTTGATATCAGCAGCACCACTCCGCTCACCAATTCTCCGGAAGACGGTTCGCTGCGTGGACAGGTTAATTGGGGATGATACAAACCAATCTAGATATTCTAATTACTGATGGATCTCCAACCCACGCGCACGCCGGCTCACTCATGGGGATGGCATGCGCGGAGGACGACGAGCGAGCGCTACAAGAGAGAAAGAAGAGCGGATACCTCGGATTCGATCCGGACGGGGGAGACGGAGATGGATGGGGGGGCCGCGTCTCCGCGCTCTCGCCCCCCTTGGGTCACCAACCCTGGGTGGCCTCGCCGGCCGTGCGCCGCACGGAGGAGAAGGCTAGGACGAGGGGAGGGGAGGGGAGGCCGTCCGCGAGCGCGACACGCCCGTGCCCTGCTCGCCGGCGACGCGGGGGGAGCCGGCCGTGCCTCGACTGGAGTGGAGAGAGAGAGAGAGAGAGAGAGAGAGAGAGAGATGGGCTTGGGAATTTGGATGGGAGAGTGGATGTGAAGGAAACACAGGGAGAGAGGGCTTTGGGCAAGAATGCAAGTTGGTCGATAAATACTCCATTCGTCCCAAAATATAACAACTTTTTATCACATAAGATTTATCCTAAAATATAACAATTTATTCACTAACATTCTCTTTTCAACCAATCACAACTCTCTATCATTCACTTTTCTCACCTACCTCCACTACTTAATCAATCACAACCCTCTACCATTCGCTTCTACCTATTTTCTTAATAACCGTGTCCAACTCTAAAAATGTTTATATTCTAGGACGGAGAGAGTATCTAAGCACAAGCATCTTGGTAGGATCTTGATTTCGAGGAAAAACAATTTTTTTAGAGAATTTTGAATTACAATACTATATATGAAAAATTCTTATGAATGTCTTTGAATCAAATGATTGGATCATATAAAATCCTTTGAAATTCCTATGGAATGGAATCCTATAGAGATCTTGGAGAAAACTTAGCCAGAGCTCAAAGCTCTTAGAAAATTTCCTTTTTGAAGGGCTCCAAACTCCAACTCCAGTGAGAGCTAGCTCCTATTGGAGTTGAAGACTCGTTGAAAAGTGTTTGGATACGTTTCAGCTCCAGATCTGGAAAAAAAAGAAAAAAAATAGCCATCGGCCCAGGCGCGTCGTCGGCTGCCGGCCGCGCGCCGCCAGCCCACCGAACGTTCGCCGTCCCTAGGTGCTTCGTCGGCCGCGCGCCGCCTGCCCGTCGTCACCGCCCGCCGCTTTCGCCGCCTCACGCCACCGACGCCGCTGCCCCTGCCGCCGCCCCCGCAGCTCGGTTGGGATCGGGAGGAGATGGGGAGGAGAGAGAACAGGATGAGAGGATGACTGAAGGGTAGTTGAGTGGTATTTTTGTGTAAATAGACTACAAAATTAAAGGGTAGTGGTTTGTGGGGGTGGAGTGGAGCTGTGGAGCAGAAAAACCCAGCTCCACCCCCGTAGTTCAGTTTTTAGGAGTACCTCTACTAGCTCCACTCCAAAAAAACAGAGGATCTGGACCGTTTGGCACAACTCCGGCTCCAGGTAAGTTGAGTTGGGAGCTAGAGCTGTGCCAAACGGGGCATATCTCCCTCATATGATTCTTGTGTTTTTTCCTACGGTCCGAGCAAACGGTAATTTCTATGTTTTTCCTGTGTTTTGCAATCCTCTATTTTATACTTTCATTCATGTTAGGATCCTGTGTTTTTCCTATTCCTTCATTTTTTTCATTCCTACGATTCAAAGGGGCCCTTAAGCTTAAATGATAAGGTGGAGGAAAGAATAGAGGATAGGGGATGTGATGGAATACGCGTAGGCTACGATAGCATAAATCAAAATTTTCTATCATGTAAACCAGGAACCATGCAAGTATTAGATCATAGATCGTTACCACTCGACGCGCTGCGCAGCGGAAGAATGCGCTAAGAAGTCGAAGAAACTCCCGCGAAGTAGCGCACGTCGATGTAGAGGAAGTAGTCGATCGCACCGGCTCGACCTTCTCCTCCTCGTGCGTTCCCCTCGCCGTATTCCCACGCCGATCAGCACCGCAAAGTAGTGGCGCCTCTACCGGTATCCACACGTACAGGGACGGAACGCCACGCGTAGATGTGCTAGCACCCGTGCGTGACTAGGGTTTTGCTCGGGGAGGGGAGTGACGGCTAGGGTTTTGCTCGTGATGCAATACCTCCGCCAATCACACCTCTCACGAATATATAGGATCTATGACTCGAGCCTCCAAGGCCCATAGGACTCCTATTCGGATCCCTATCCGAATTAAGCTCATATTGGATCTCCATCCAATCCCCTTATTCCGGCCCATTAAGCGTACGATCCTGGAGGTTCATGTACACTCGGCTGTAACCCGAAAACTCATTTTCGGTCCACGTGTCAACAACGGCCCCTAGCAGAACGTATTGACCCACCGAGCATACATAAAGATCATATCGGCTGAACCTCTAGTGTATACTTGTATGAACCCCTTTGCCTCACGATATCGATTAAGCTCAAGGTTAGATATGTGCCATCCTCTAATAGCTCAATCGTTCACTCGAACCTGTATAGATTATATAACTTGTGATTGACTCCTCAATCACCTTTGGCATGGCCATGCACTTCCATAATCTACAACATCAAGGGGCCCACCACATCCCATCTTGATTATTCATATCCCACTACATGTTTCACAACATACCCGAAAACTACTTTTATAACTACCCAATTACGGAGTAGCATTTAGCAGTCCCTAGGTAAGCTACTACACATGTTGGGAATCATGATAATCTTAGGTCTAAGGATTCAACACCAGCACTAAATGAGATCACTGATGACACAACACATATAGCTTTTGAAGTGTCTCATGTTGGGTCTATCCAATAACATGTTCCCCAACATGTGTCCACATTATTAATTTGGTATCTCTATACTGTCGACGTTTGATATCACGACTACGATATTTGGATGGTATGGGGATCATTGGTACCAGGGTATATGCGAGATTGAGATAAAAAAGATGGAGACATGGATTTTTATACAGGTTTGGGCCCCTTATCTTACAGGTAATAGCCCTACATCCTGTTGGCCGAAGCCGGTGTTGCTCTTTATTCATCTGGATCACACAAATATAATATCTGGGATAATCTATCTATCCGTCGTCGACTTGACGACTAAATAATTAACTCATAGTCGACGACAAGGTAGTCTTCCTCCTTGAATCCGTACTCGGCGAGATCAGAGATGGTGCTAGATCCCTCTTGCCGGCCCCTATAGGTGCCGGATGGTGTATGCCTAGGCTAATCTCTGATGTCAATATACGGCGGCGTATTGGCTTGTATTGGCTTATGGCTTTGTATATTGTGGTGGGTGTGTCCCCTCTCCTCCTAGGGGAGCTTGTATTTATACTCATAGTTGCCCCCTTGTCCAAGTAAGACTAGGGAGATAAATATGGATACAATCCGAGTAGTCCTTATCATTTCCATATATAACTCTTCTTGTCCTTCCTTATCCGGAACTCCCTCTATATACGAGGTTTGTTTCCGTATAAGACATGGTATGTGGTGGGCCCTGCCGAGCTTAGTCGATTACTATTGGGTATGTAATATCCATAACCCTGACATATACCATGATCCATGAGACATGATCATCAATTAATACATGTGTTGATCATTTAAACATATTTGTTCCATATATGATATTTGATCAGGGATCCTTTAGAAATAGTAACAAACAACATAAAGAGTCTCATGAAAGAATCACATATTCATTAACCAATAATGAGTTGTCCATTTCAAGGAACAAAGTCGGATCAATATGTAAACATAGTATGTGATACAATCATCTCTATGATTGCCTTTAGGGCATATCACTAACAGGATGAGCCACCATCATGCAAGGGTAATCTCATCACAAACTTTAAGGAAGAAAGAGAAAAGAATGAGGTTGATTGCATGAGAGTGGATAAAATAAATAGTTATGTTGCATTAGGGTTAGTACATTAGAGGTAATGTGGTGTATGAGATGCCCACTATAAATTAGTCGATGATATGGATAATATTTTATGTGACAATCACCTCTATTACAAAACTTGTTCTTACAGGTTAAATAAGTAGGTAACTCGTTGGTTCCCGCGTTATGGCCCGGTTTGTCGTACTTAAGGATATAAGTGGGTCAACCCGTGAATCCACTTGCTCCCTTCGTTTCGTTTTTTAATAGATGACGTAGTTGACTTTTAAACAAACATTTGACCATTCGTTTTATTCAAAAATTTTATGCAAATGTATAAGATATAAATCATGCTTAAAATACTTTGAGTGATAAACAACTCACAACAAAATAAATTATAATTATGTAATTTTTTTAAATAAGATAGATGGTCAAACATGTGACAAAAAGTCAATGGCATCATATATTAAAAAAGGAGGTAATATATACCAAATTAATAGGTTACCCACTAAGTTTTGTTTACAAGTGGGTTCGTAGATCGACCCAGTTACATCCGTACTTAAGGGTACATTTTGGTCGGTAAAATTCATTCGACGGTCCACTTGGTCCGCAAACTTGTTTCGCTCATGGTGATTAGGCTTATATAGTGAAATTTTAAATTTTATAATTTGATTTTTTATCATAGTTTATTTTATAACATTTGTTCTTGTTCTTGAGTCACTAAGAATACGCATATAAAAGTTTTACTTATAAATATTTTTATTTACTAATTAGCGATTCAAATAAGTACTCCCTCCGTTTCAAAATGTTTGACACCGTTGACTTTTTAGTACGTGTTTGACCATTTGTCTTATTCAAAAAATTTAAGTAATTATTTATTCTTTTTATATCATTTGATTCATTGTTAAATATACTTTCATGTACACATATAGTTTTACATATTTCACAAATATTTTTGAATAAGACGAACGGTCAAATATGTGCTAAAAAGTCAACGGTGTCAAATATTTTGAAATGGAGGGAGTATATAAATAAGCGAAACAGTTGGCCTGTCATCCATGGCTAGCCAATAAAGTCAGCGTTGGTTTTGGAACAGATTTTTGAACGAAGTTGTGGAACTAATTTGATATCGTCAAAGATTTTACGAGACAACAAATTTGAACTAGTGAAATTGGCAACAAGCTACTACAGGATTAAATAACCATGCTCATTGTTAAATTATGTTATTTACCAATACACTGACATGACATGGTTTGAAATCAAAAAGTATAGATCACTTCTACTTCTACACATTCTCTTCATGGTTGCTATGATACAAGGAAAAGCTAGATGATCAAAACATATCCAGCTCTTCTTGTTTTCAAGATAGATACTTGTCATAGTTTCTTGGTTAAAACATATAGCTGTTAGTAATACATGAGACTTTCACACCCTCAAATCCTCAAACCTCCTTAAATCATACATTCACCTATCTTATTGTTAGGTGCTAGGTTGACATGTTCAAATTCCAAGCAAGTTCTATAAGAAAATGGGATCTTTGAACCAAATTGAGACCGGCTTTAGCCATGCTTTTTTTTGGTTGCATTTTCTATATGTGAACCTGGCTTGCACAATGGACCAAAAGCTTGAAGTCTACACTAAAAACTTGGCATAACTTAGTTTTATAAATCCCAGAGATCAAATTGCAAGTATAAAAAATTAGGACACAACCACATGCAAAGTTGGTGAATGGTGAAGCCATGGGCAAATGTGGCCAATAGTAGGGAAAATGCTTCCACCCGGTTGTCTAATCTCCTGAAAAAAATCGGACGCGTCTCATTGTGGTTTTGCTGCATGCAGCCTCGTATTCTTTTTGTCAGATACTTTCTTTTCACACCTGTTACATATGCTCCCTTACTTAGCATTGGCATGCATGGAGGAGAGAGGATACAAGATTATTTGCATGTACATAACACCCTTTTAGCAAACTTGAAAATGATTTTTCTTCCAGATTACTCATCCAATCTACGATATGTTTACACCATTGTATTCGTTACAATTAAATTTTTACAGCAAGATCTCACATGACTATATTATAATAAAAAACACACATATGTCTCAACCAATTAAATTTAATGTTTCACATGTGAGAATAAGATGTTTCAACTGAAATTCTATTATGTTGCACATATTTAATTATTGTCGCAATGTATATATCTTTCTTTAATGCATCACATGGTGCTATTTGTATGTTTCAGTAAGTAGTTTATTATGTTTCACTAGTTTATTTATAAATGTTGCATATGTGTTGATTGAGTGTTTCAATAAGTATTCATTAATTAATTAAAAATATTGCACACGGTATCATGTTTCAGCAAATATTATATGATGTTTCAATTGTTAATACCTTATGATTAAATTATAAAAATAATCATGTGAGATCTTGTCGTAAAGATTTAATTGTGATTATCGGTGTTGCAGTTAGTATTTCTTGAATGTTACATTTCTCTGAAATATTTTTATAGACTGAGTTGAAACATTTGAGCAAGATTTTTATGTCTCACTCATTGAGAGTCAATGTTTCATACCGATATTATCGGTGTTGCATTTAGTATTACTTGAATGTTGCATTTCTCTGAAACATTTTTTAGAGTGAGTTGGAACATTTTGACCTAGTGGTGAAACATTTTTTTTATAAGTGGTGAAACAAAGTTCGATTTTTCTCATCAAAATATAACCGTGCGAGATCTTGTTGTGAAGATTTAATTGCAAGGAGTTTAATGGTGAAATCGAATCATAAATCGGATAATTAATTTAGAAGGAAATTTAATTTAAAGAAATAAAAAGTGGGGTTGAGATAAGTGCTGAACCATGCAGTCATGCATGCGCAAGCATATAGACTTTTTACATGTGCTAATCAACTAGAGTAGAAACGGTAGAGATTGTGCATGCATGCGTAGGCGTGCGGCAGTCAGGGGTTGGGCGTCCGATATTTACGAAAAATTGGACGTCCGACGCGTAGCATCCTCCCAATAGTAGGGGTACAAGAAGCTACAAAGCTACAGCCAACGGAGGCTTATGTTGGGTTATTAGTTGATGGGTAGAACCACACAGGGGAGAGTCGTGGGGCATGGCCGATGTGGTGGGAGAGCAGTGGGCCATGGGCTAGTGCTTTTGGAGGGGTTGGGAACCCCTCCCCTATGCACGCAAATCGGTGCGATAGATTAACACATGATTAATTAAGTATTAGCTATAAAAAACTTGAAAAATAAATTAATATGATTTTTTAAAGCAACTTTCCTATATAGGCCCTGTTTAGATTCTAATTTTTTTCTTCAAACTTCCAACTTTTCCGTCACACCGAACTTTCCTACACACATAAACTTCCAACTTTTCCATCATATCGTTCTAATTTATTTAAACTTCCAATTATGGCGTGGAACTAAACACATCCATAACCTTTTTGTAAAATGCGTACCGTTTAGCAGTTTGAAAAGCGTGCACGCGGAAAACGATGGATATGAGTTGGGAACTAATGGGAAAGAACACAACAAGTAGCACCGTGCAACAAGTAGATTTATTAAGAAGAAACTAGGCCCTCTTCTTTTCTCCAACAAAAGTTGGATTAAATTTTGGATACTCATGGCACACTATTCAAACTGCTAAACGGTGTGTTTTGTGCGAAACAATTCTATATGAAAGTTGCTCTAAAATATCATATTAATTCATTATTACCACCTCGTTTTACATGAAACACTTAATTTTTATCTTCATCTTCAGAAGATTCAAACACCACCTATGTTAAGATCATTGGGTCTTCGATGTTGACCTATTAATGAGGCATATATGTTATCTCTTAGGTTAGGCAAAGTTTTATGGGTTCATAAATTCAAAAGCCTGAGTCCAACCCAATTATTTGCCACAAACTTCATTCATTGGCCTATCATGGTCTAAGTACAAAGCCCATATCGAGAAAATCATGCACTGTTGCTCTCTCCATTCTATAAATTCGTAATACTAGAATGCGTCATATCCGGGTTTTTATGGAACAAAAAGAGTACACTATTGTCTAATATCATCATACATGTTCTCATACTATAAGTACCGATTCACAACTTATTTTTAGAAGTGGCCTAAAACTTTACAATTCCATTAAAGGTACCCTTGTTTTAATTCTTTTAAAAAACTACTCCCTCTTTCCCAAATTAATCATCATGTAATAGAATGATATATTCATTGTGGGAGAATATGTGTATGATATCTTGATTGATGTTATTTAAATTATCTTGGTGTTGGTGCATAATAAACATATATAATGATTCCTCGAAAAAAAACATATATGATGATTAATTTGGAAAGGAGAGACTACCGCTGAAGCTGATTATGGTCAATCCCGATGCGATCCGACGGCCGAGATCCACCCCAGCTAAAACAATCTAGGAGTAAAAGCAAAACCAGCCTCCACCTCTCTCATCCCCAACACACCGCACACCAGGGGCAATCCCGTAAATCGACCAAAGGCTTTGATTCCCGTCCCTATATAGCTCCACACCCACCACCACCACCATGGAGAGAAGAGAAAAAAAATACTTATATATATATAGGAGTATTATTATATATAAGTAAATCGAGCGCACCCTAAAAATCACGGAAAAATATGGTCTTGGTCTTCTCCCCCTCCCAGCCTCCGCAGGCGGCGAAGTAGCACAAGGAAAGGGTCCAAAACCAAAAAAAAAAAAAAAAATCGGCGGCGGCGGCAGCGGCGACGCGGCTCGCGGCGACCGGACGGACGGAAGGCAGGGGGAGGCGGCGCCGCCCACCGATCGGGTCCCGCCCCGGCGAGGGCGGGAGTCAAAAGGCGAGGGGGAAGGGAAAAGGCAGCAGCAGGAGCAGCATCAGCCACAGCCGTGTTGGGGGGGGGGGGGGGGGGGAAGAATTCCTTCTTCGCGCAGGAGAGCAGCGCACGCAAGGAATCCCCGTCGAGGAAGGGGAGGAGGAGAAGGGCAAGCGGAAGAGCGGATGGGGCGGCGCGATTTCTACTGAAAAAGCTGAGCCCCGGCGGCGGCGCGCGCGCAGGTGGGAAGAGAGGAGGGAGAGATTTTGCCCTTGGGGTTTGATGAGGAAGGCCGGAGGAGCAAAAGGTATACGCAACCCTAGATCTTAAGAAATCTGACTTAGTAGTCTCTGCTTGGCCTCCGCCGCCAGTCGCCGCTGGGGAGATCGCCGTGTGTTTCGCCGTGTTGGCGCCTGGGGTACGGAGGAACAGGTTCGGTTGTCAGATCTGCCTTGTCTGAAGGATTTGGACTTCTCGGGGTCAATCAACCAATCTGGTTCTCTCTCTGCGTGTTGTGGAATCTGGGATGGAGGTGGTCGTGCGGTGCTCGCCAGGAATTCGTCCAGCTCCCCAGATCTGCCTGCTTTTCTTCTTTTTCATGGGGATCGATTTTCTAGGAAGGAGATGTTCTCGTTGGTGCGGATGCTGATGGAAGAGGGCAGTTGACTGAGCTGTTGTTCCGTGTTGATGCCATAGGGGATTCAGTCCTGGAAGTAAAAGCCTTCTGGTTTTCCATTATTTCTGGTGCTCCACTCCCATATGTGCTCAAGTAGCCTTGGAGCGGGGGAGTTCAAAGTTTTTCCTAAAAATTTTGCTACAGGAGGGGTTCAAGTTATTTTCTGATATAATTGGCGCGCGGTGGCGGCATGGCTGCAGAAGCGTCGTTTAGTTTTTTCCTATTGCTTTCGAACATGCTATGTGGATTGTGATGCTATTATTCTTCAAGCAGTATCGTACGCTTTGGTGGTGTGGTGCTCAACCGGAACCTTATGTTGTTTTTGTTTTCCAGAGGATTTTAAGGGATCTATTGGACCTGAGGGTGCAGTTGATGTGAAACAGTCTCTTGTTTCTTTGGGAGCAACAGGAAGAAGGCCTGGTTTCATGGTATGCTTATGTTGTTCATGCTCTGCTTGTATTCCCAACCAAGTTGAAAGCCTATCATTGTGTTCAGTTTGCTATGGGTTGATGTTCCGCCTAAACTTTTTTTTACTGATACTGTACTGGATATGGATCTTTTGACTAGTTTGGTTCTCTTGGCAGATTCGATTGTGCACCTGTACTGGAAGGCCATCATCACTTCGTAATCTTAATAACTCAGGTGTTTCAATGACCTGCAAAGGCTGTGGTGGTGAATCAACAACAGACAGAGCTGGGCCGTCGTGTAGCAGCAAGCTCAACACCATGGGCTTGGAGCTTCCAAGGCCTATAGATCCTGAGGTGAGATGGAAGACCGTAAACAGAAGGCAAAGAGCTGCAAGGAGAGCAAGGACCTCTTTCTCTGGAGAAGACAGAATAAGGGATGAAATTAGATCTTTCTATGCATGTGGCAATGCTACTAATCAAGAATTGGCACAAGATGATGCTCCTGTTTCTGAGTCTGAGAAGGTTCTTATTTTTCTCCTTTAGAGTACAATGAAGTAAGAGTCAATTCAATTCTTGAATGCCAATTTTATGAACTATTTAATGACATCTTTGCAGTTTGGGGTATCTATTCTTGGTCGGCGCTTTAGTGATCCTGTGGGAAATGTTCCAATAAAAAAGAGAAGATTTCTTATGGATTGTTCTCCATCACCTCCACCCACTCCATTGCTAGTGGATCCATATGAAAAACTGTTGAGCAGATCCTGTGGAGGTATCTCGTCACATGGAAAGCATCATAAGGTTAAAACACCTAGACTTGATTACATGGAGGAAACAAAAGAGCATTTTGGCGTAGATGATTTTTCTGGCATATCAATACTTGCGGCTGCTGCCTGCACGAGCGAGTTGGATGATGACACGTTGAATGTCGAATGTTCGAAGTCAGCCCACTGTGTTGAAAGGAAACCAGAAAATATCACTGGTAGTTCTGAATTGAATTTCCTAAATAACATCAAGGAGGACATGCTAAATAGTCTGGATGCTTCAAATTGCAAATCAGACCCGCTGCTGGAGTCGTCTGAATCTGTTCCTGATACGAAGCCTGTGGTTGCCACTAGATTGAACTGTGAAAATCTTGTTGAATCTACACACACTCAGAAGGACTGTTCCGCGTCTTTTTCTGCATTGAGCAGTGCAAACAAAGCAGATGATTCTTCAACTGCTTCTGACACGAAGTCTTCAGGTGTTACCATGTCAATCAACGCAAGTAATCCAGACAAATCTGTAGGCGGCTTGCAGGATGCAGTTGTGGAAACTAAGCATTCCAATGGCACCCGTGACTCAAGATTGCACTGGGATCTTAATGTTGCAATGGAGGCATGGGACACTGACTGTGGTGGTGATGATGTTCCTGATGCGGCTGATCCTGATCCTGTTGCTTTTGCTATAAGCAGTTGTAGTGATGCTGAAAATGTGTTGAACAAGCTGCAGGTGTGTCAAGCTCCTTTTGACTCAACAATTGCTGGTAACATTCCTGATCTTTCAGAGGACAAAACTCCTGTGATTGATGCACCAAAAGATGCTTCTACAAAGAGCGAAAGTGATTTTGCTGGTGACGGTTCATCTCAACCTTTGTGCAGCCTGTCTCCGCAAAATGTACCAGTATTAGAATCGAGACCGCTAGAATGCGATGGTTTATCTGCAGGAACAAAGGAGTTGCCTGATAACAATGATATCTCCAAAGTAAAATCACAGCTAGGGTCTGATCCTGATTGCAGCTCTTTGCCTCCTATGACTGAACGTTTTGCTTTGACCGTAATTGAGGAGAAACTTGATGTTTCACATGCCTCAGCCCTTGATTGTGTAGGTTTGTCCCAGATGGTTTCTACAGATGGCTGTGATGGGATCAATTCAGTTCAAATGAGTGAACTGGGATCCAGAGTGAAGCCTTTCACAAGTAGGTTAGTTTCTGAGGAAAGCACAAACCTTGCAACAGTAACTGTTTTCAATAAAAGTTCTACTGATCTTGGCTGGAGCAATGATAAACTTGGGCAAACATCTCAACAAAGCATATCTGAATTGAAGAACCAGGATCTTTTGGATGTTGATTCTGGAACTAGTAAAATTGGACAGTCAGGTCACGACAAAGTTGAACATGTCACCAATGAATTGAGCATCTCCAAGAAAGCTGCAGATGTAGATGATGATTTGGACCTCTCCGATTCTCATATGAATGACAACCCAGGTTCTTCTGATCGTGGTATGTCCCATGCCCATGAAGAAGAGGGTGCTGATGCAACTATTAGTAATAATCTCACCTGTACTGACAGTAGCAATGCATTAATATGTCGTATAGATGGTGCCTGTGTAGCTCCCCCTATCAATTCAGAATGCATAAAACCATCAACTACTGACATGGACAGCATTGCCGATTCACAATCTGCAGAACAAAGCTACCTCGGGAAGGTTCTATCGAATAATTTTATGGAGCACTGTAATGAAACGGAGGCACCTCATATTATTAAAGATCTTGCTGGGACTGGAAATATTGTTGCTGAAGAGGATGATTCTCAATATGAGGATGGGGAACTAAGGGAATCTGGCGAGTATTGGGGAGATGATTGTTATGAAGAAGTTAAACCTGCCAATTACCAGGTGTTAGATTGCAAGAGTGATGCCCCAGGCATTTCTCCCTTCCCTCTTGGCTCCATGTCAAAGAATACAGGTGATCGAGTTGCTAATTTCAATGGAAAACATTCCAGGAATGGAGGTGGTGATGTTTCACCAGCCGCATTGAAGTGTTCATGGTCAACTACCTGCATAGATGATGGATCTGGAACGATGTGTGCTGGAAGCACTGGTGAAAAGGCTCTTAGTGTTCACTTGAGAGTTAATGGGGAGACTCGAATGTATGAGATGAATCCAGGCCATGTAATAGCTGGATCTTCCGCAACAGTCAACCAGTCTGAAAGGGTCAATGATGGTTTAGGGGACGATCTTTCAAGTCTGAGAACAAAGCCCACAGGATGGGATATGTTACCTGAAGATCAGCGGCATTCTCAACATGATTCAAGGGACACAGTTGATTCATCTAACCGGTGTGTTTTGAGCACATCAGATACAGCTGGAGGTGGTGAATCATTGCGCCATATGGAGTTATCAAGTGGAGATATGCAACCACGAGCTGATCGGCCAAGATCATTTGACAGAGCCCACATAAATGAGTTATGCAGGTAAGTTACTGGTGAACTTTTTTAGCTGTCATCTTGCTGGTAATTCGACACTGATGATCCATTATCATGTCCCCAATTACTAATCTTATGACCCCTTTTCTTTTTTCATCCAGATCTGATGATGGTTATGGCTCAGGTTCAAAGGCTGAAAGAACCATTGATATTCGTAAATCACATGAAAGAGGTGGAGCATCACGACATATTCAAGGTAGCAGCCGGGTGGAACAGTGGGTGGAAAATTCAAACAATTCTCGCACTACCTGGCGCAAATCACCTGATTATTATAATTACGGACTGCCTGGTCCAAGGAATGCTGCAGAAGCTGCTGTTGCAAAGATGCAGAGCAATGGCTTTGTTGTTGCACCTGATGGCACCTTGGTAAAGGCGGTTGATACTGCAAATGCTAGTAAAATGGCTAGGAGGGTGAGAAACAACACTTTGAGTAGCTCATACCGCCCTTTATCTGGACGTGGTTCTCCAATTGACAGAGATGGAGGTTGTGGGGTGTCTAGAGGTCCTGCACATGCTAGGGAAGCATCCCCAGAAAGACGCTTCAGTACTAGTGGTAATCGATCTGTTAGATATGGGCCTGATATGGATAAAGATCATGCTAATGTAAATATGAGCTCAGCTCGTTGCTCACTGGCCAGTAGACAAAGGAGGTTCCCGCAACATAGAGCCTCACTTAACCTATCACGTGCTCACAGCCGATCCCCTTCTGGTTCAAGGTCTCGATCTCCGCATGCTTGGACATCACCTAGGAACAGAAGGGAAGTTATGGTGAATGGTAGTTCAAGTTTATGGAGGCATAGTAGAAGTAGATCTCCGCCTAATTACATGACTGAAGTTAGAATGGGAAGAATGACTTCGCCTTCTAGACAACCTGGATTTGGTGATCGAGTTATGCGTTATAGCCCTTCATCAAGAGATCGTGCTTACTCTCAACATGCTTCTACATGGGCTGATGGGAGGAACTGCTCAACTGTTGATCTTCCTGATCATAAAAAGCGATATTCAAGGAGGAGCCCACCCCTGAGAGTTACCTCAAGAAATGACAGGTTTGATGTGGACTCCCATGGACGGCCAAGGTCTGGAGAGTTGTATCGCCCAACACAGGGAAGACTTCCTTATGGCTTCGAAAGGGGGAGGGGAAATAGGCATGATGGGAATGGTGATGATCAAAGGGAGTATGCTGATAGATATGAAACTCATTCTGCCAAGCCATATGACAGGAATGGTGCCACAAAGCAGTTCAGAAATCATACAGGAGATAAACTTCGTCCATGTATTTCGGCTCCCAGATCCCCAGAACCCCAAAGAAGGGGAAGCCCTCGGAGATTTGACAGGGGCTTCGGGAGGCAGCTGGGTGTGGATTTGCCTCGTGGAACTAAAGAAGATAATAAAAATCCTTTCAGATATGATTGAATGGGAAAGCAAACCCATGCTGGAAGCCTGGAATTGAATCATAAGGCTCACTGCTATTTGACACAGGATTACCTTGACAGCATTGCTTGTTGTTCTGCTTCTGCATCTGTGCTCAAGCCACAGAAAAGCTGAAATCGTGCACTTGGGAGGGATTTGCAGATTAACTTTACAATTTTCTTCTTTTCGTTTGTAAATATTTATATCGGTAGTAGATCACAATCACTGTTTTACAGCTTTATGGCTGTTCTTTTTTTATTTATTATATTTACTTCCCCCCTCGTTGCACTCTTTTTTCAATGGACATTATGCCTGTATGAGGTCCATTTAAACATGATCAATCAATTAATTTTGAACTGAAGCTTGTGGATATCTATTTATGTTTCTGCCTTTCATTGGCATTTTTGTACCATCCAAGTGCCTTCTGTCGAAGTGGTTAACTGGTTTGTGCATCCTGGAGACAAAAATGCGTGACTCTCAGTACACAGTTCAGTGGAGTGTATCGGATTGGCCGTTTGAACCTCTCTGGACTTCAGTGGATGACATCCTTTCGGTGAAATTTCCTCTTCGCTCTACTTAATATTTTCCTTTCTTCACAACCTTTACTTTCACATTTTTTTTTCAGGACAAAGTTTGGAACAGCGCCCTTGCACATGTTAGTTGTACCAGGTATTGTGCTCCTGGGTTTACTTCTAGCAATTATATTTGGTAGTTGCTGCTTATTGGTATTACTGTCAACTTTCCACTGGACATGTCTCTTTGACATACCTAAAGGGACATAACCCCTCTTCAATAGATATAAGAGAAACTTTGAATTAGAACTACGTTTTGTGTTTGTATTACTGCACTTTCCGTGATCAGAAAGTTATGTGTGTGGAGCTTCAATTTGTGTGGTGTCAGGTCCCATGCTCTTTTATTCCCATTTAAACAAACATGAAAGCACAGAATGGTTGTTGACCACATCAAGAAATGTTGACATGAATGTGGTGGAATACCTCTTAATTGGATTCACATTACTTGACACTACTGGTATGACTGCCACTATTTTCAGTGAGCGATTTTAAAGAAAATACAGAATATATTGGAGTATCATGTTATGTGGATCAAAGATATTTAAAAACTGTGCTATATCTGTCCTCTTATACTGTCATCTTTAGTTTTGACATCTCTTTATCGAAGCCATTAGTCCAATAAACAGTTGACCCCTGCCGTAGTAACTCAGACTGTGTCAGAACTCAGTATTTAAAGCAGAAGTATATATGTGCATTTTTTTCTGCAACCATATGCAGTATCGCTTATCAGGTGTCATTAACTGCATGTTCTCTTAGTTTTATGACATCAAATGATGTTTCAGATACTTGTGTGAAGATGAGTGCATTGCTGACTCAGACATTTAGCACTAGCCTGTTTCACCTTACAGCTGATGTACACACTATTTGCTGCAGCACTCCTCAATAAATTACATGACACAGTTGTTTTTTTCTCTTGTGTTTCCGACTTCAGAATGGTAACCTCCCTTGGAAATCGTGCCTTTTCTTTTTGCCTTGTTGCTAGATGGTGATCTTTATTTGTTACGTGCAGGATAAACTGATTCTTGCAAAAGGGATTCTATGTTACTTCAGTACCACCTATAAATTTTATTACCATTGCTTTATTGTCATGGTTGAATCATTTTGGGGGTGTCAAGTTTCAGACTGTTAGCGAGATATTCTGTTGGACATGTGTTTTGGTTGTTACCATAAAGCCCGTAATAGATAAGGGATACAATGTAATACAGGGAGCACAATTTTTTCATATATATGTTGAGACTTAGAAGAGAAGTCAATGTAGGATGTCTTAATTCTCGAGTGCCTCCCTAGATGCTAAGCTGATATGTTAGTTTCCACTTTATGCATTAGAATTCCCCCTTTCCTGTAAAAAACAAAGGCTGAAATAGAACATGTTGAGTTTGACTGTTATTTCCTGGGTTTCTCCTGTTGATCTAGTGTTGTCATGGAGTATATTGGAGCATAGAGAAACTGGAAAAGCTTTTATTGCTCACTATTCAAAACGCACTCTTTTTCTTTGGTTGGAAGCCTGGAAATTTACTTTGATCCTACAAAATTATCTTCATCACAATTCATACAACTGTAGTGTCCTCAAATAAGATCTTTTATCTCTAGGATGCAGTTGCATTCTCTGTGGACTAATTGTTACATTAAGAAAAAACATTTTGAGAAGTAGCAATTATTGTGGGCAAGACATGCATGATAACCATTATAACCTGAGAATAGATTGGCAAAGAAGGCATTGAGCAAAATTTTTGTGGCTCACGAGGAATTTATCGTGAATATATTTCCACAATTTCAGATGTGCTATATAGTCTGTCATAAAAGAAGAGCTTGTCAGATCTTAGACAACCCGAGCACCTGACAGGAAATTACTTTGGTTGCTTTTTTTTTTTGCCAATTAGCATTATTTGTCACAAGTCTAATTTCATTCATATTGCAGGCCTTCTCAGATGGAGGTTTCACCTGAGACTGAGAGGGTTATGCTTTCAACAGCATAGAATATATGTGGACCAATTCTTGTTTAGTAGAGTTGCTTTCACGCTACCATCTTATTTGCCACTGATATGACCTGAGCTAAATTGGCAAATAAGGCATTGAGCAAAATTCTAGTGGCTTACAAGGAATGTACCATAAATATATTTCAATTCACAGTTTTAGGTGGTAGTACAGAATAGACTTGAAATAAAAAAGAATAACTGTCAGATCTTAGACAACTGAACAGGAAATTACTTTGTTTGCTTTTGCCAATTGCCATTATTTGTCTCAAGTCTAAGTTCATTCATATTGCAGGTGTGCTCAGAGCCTCAGACGAAGGTTTCACTTGAACTGAAGCAAAACACAACAGGAATTGCATTGCTAGACCTGATCAGTATCTGAGTACTCCATGATGGCAAACTCGTGAACTTGAATTACAGCAAGCTGAAAATGAATTCTTGCATTCTCTTTGGGTTTGCGGAAACAGATAGCGGAGCTCATTGTGCCCTGCAAGGATTCTTGCAGCCGTTACCTGGAGTGCAGGGATAAAGTTGAACCAGAGTAAGCCTGTAAAGAGCAAATGAGGAGATGCTCCAAGCTGCTGTCCTGAATGAGCCAGAGAGCTGGCGACTGGCGATCAAGGTAGTACGCGCACCCTCTATGTCTTCTGTTTTCACCTTGAATTTTAGCCTGTTTATTTTCACATTGAATTTCGTTACTTTTGTCATATAAAACTTTAGCAAAAGAAGATAGATTGCACCGTGGATACCATATAAGAACTCACTGAGATAGCATTATAGACTATCAGGTTTCTGTGTATGCGTATATATTTTTTCTAGTGTAATAGTAGTCTTAACATTGGGCTGTCAAATCTCTAGTGATGGGAATAAAGTGACTTGCGCCTCAAAAATTTGTGGGACATGCCTTGCAATTCCCCTTTTTCTGTTTCAGAAAACCTCAGACAAAGCTTTTCCGAAACGCATCGACATGCCATGTTGGTTGTTGAAGCAGACCAAGGTGAGAATCTCCTGAACTTTGTCGCAAATCTGTGTATTGCTTTTTGGCACGGCAAGCATGTCCATGAAAAAATTGCTGGAGACGTTAAGCCCCTCCTCTCATGGGCCGTCTAAACTGTCATTATTGCATTAGCTAGTTGTCATTGAAAAGATGTCAGTGAGGTCTAAATGGATTGCACGAATCAGATCTATCTGTGCCCAGATAAGAGATTCTCAAATCCATTTGGTGTACCAGTTAGATTGCATATGATCATCCATGTCTCTGGAATATATGAGAGCCAGCTCTGTTTGTTTACCTTCTCAAGCTGGCAGCTGGCTGGCAAATACTTGTTTCCGTGAAACTAGTGCCCTTGCTTATTTTGTTTTTTAAAAAGTTCAGTCAAAATTTCTCGCTGATGAAAACGCATATAAATGTTGATGAACATTATAGTTTCTTCTCCCAACTTGCAAACGCTACTCGGAGTCCACGTGTGCGCTCAATTGAAGGTTTTATTTGAGGTCACGCGATGTGTGCTCAATTGAATTTGTATTGCCACCATTTTTCCCGAACAGGGGTAGAATATATTAAGATAGTATAACAACAATTTTCCTTGGCATCTCAATTGAATATATCAAGAACAGTAAAGATTGCTAATTACTCCCTCCGTTTCTTTATAATTTGTCACCAAGCATTATTTATATTTAAACTCTTAACCATTGTATTTTTTTTAAAAAAATCTAAATACTTAAAAATAAGTGTCATATTATCTGTGTATACATACTATACATAAGCACTAAACATTTATTTACTATAATCTAATCATTAAAAATTATTGGTTATCAAAGTTGCAATAGTTTTGTGGCTAATGGTGTCAATTTCTCCTCCAAAATATAAGGGATTCTGATTGAATGAGATATATCCTATCTAACCAAAATCTTTTATATTTCAGGACGGAGGGAGTGTGAAGGAACGGGGCGAGTTCACAAACGCGTAAATTCTCATCTGTTCAAAACCTTTCTGAGAATCTCATAGCATGATGGGAGCACCGGATGAATGCAAAGGAAACGAAGAGCACGAAGCGCATGATACAAACGATCTTCCAAACAGAAAACAGTGTGGCTCCAAAACTTGGGACTACCTTTGTTTCGTTTCCTTGCAAGGCTAACAAACTGTGGACCCCCGATTTTGGAAATCGGAAATCATCTGTGTTTATCCGTACCAATCTCTAGATCAGTAGTTGGTACACACATACATAGTTGAATCACAACATATCACGAATGAATTCAGGCTAAAAAAGTTAAATACTTACATTAGGGCCAGGTAGGCCAACAACTATCAGAGAACAACAGCGGAAGACAAAATAATATAAGGGCCCGGTTAACATGCCACAGGCAGTCGACCGGGGAACGAGACCTAGAACAAGACCGCACTCCGATCATCTTGTTGGATACGCAAGCGTACCGACAAGGGCTTCTCTTCAACACTCTCCTAAAAGATATATGAATAGCAAGGGTGAGTACCAACCGTACTCAGCAAGCCACCACAACAACAATGCGTATGATAGAGGGTATTTCAAGGAATGGCTTCAGATTCTTTTGCATAAAGCTAATTTTACAATTCTTTTCACAAGCCTAAAACCTAGCATAGACTAATCAAATTTTAGTACCAGTGTTCACTTTAAACAACGACGGTTCTGTCTACCATCCATTGTGATTCCAAGGATAGCTTCCCGCCATTGAATCGTCATGGTTTTCTGAGGATGTCCACCTTCCCTCCTCTCGGGAAGTGGCTCCATCAGCATAAAATTCATCATGCAATATCCCATCCCCCACAAGTTAAGAATTTAGAGTCTAGCCAA